AGAAAAAATCATCAACCCTCATAGCGGCGGCGGGGGTCTGAAACTGAAGTCAGCAATTCCAAGATCGCCGCTCTGATACCATGCTAAAATATGAAACTATGAGAGAATATTTGTTTGTGGGAATTTTCTATGTATTGTTCTCCTTGTAGGAGGTCATATTTATAATACAACGAAACCTGAATGGGCAAGTAAATAATAAATTCATAAATCTATTTACAATAGGAAATCAAGAATTAAAGTAAATCAATTATAATTATAATAGGAATTCTTGGTGTGTAAGGAAAGTAAGTCAATATCCACAAGTCACGCCAACAAAGCACCCATGTCTCTCAAGCAAGACCCAACAAAGAACCCCACCAGGACTTCATAGATGAACACAACAGAGCTCGAGTTGAGGTTGCTGTTGGTCCAATCAAATGGAACGACACCGTTGCAGCCTACGCCCAGAAGTATGCAGATTTTAAGATTGAGACGTGTGAAATGGTGCACTCACAGGGGCCATATGGTGAGAACTTGGCTGAAGGCTATGGAGAAATGACCGGCGGGCAGGCTATGAAGTTTTGGGTGACTGAGAAGCCCAACTACGACTATGCCTCCAACACATGCGTTGGTGATGTTTGTGGGCACTACACTCAGGTGGTTTGGCGCAATTCGACTCATGTGGGTTGTGCTAGGGCTAAGTGCAAGAATGGCTGGATGTTTGTTATTTGTGGTTAGTATCCTCCTGGAAATTATGTAGGAGAGTGTCCTTACTAGATTGTATATGTATAATTGTTGAGTGTCATATTGAAGAAAGTTACATCTCAAAATAATTAATTTAATGTGTTTTGGTTAGGGATGGCAATGGGTCGAATTGGGGATGGGTATGCTATTCCCATCTCCATCCCCGTATTCATACCTGTAATATTCTAAGCAGGGATTCCCCATCCTCTCCTTCATTGGGGAACGGGTTCCTCTACTCGCCCCATTACTGAAGAAAAACCAATAAAAAAATAGTTTGTTGAACGAAAAGAACACTATAAGCACAAACATATGTATCAATTCAATTATTATTAACTAAAAATCTAGACTATATAAATATAAAAAAATTAATACATATCAAAATTACATGTCCAAGACATGTTCATCATTATAGAGGTAGTCATCACACATCTCAATCGCACAAAGTGATGTTTTCAACTTCTTCAGTGTAAGATCCCTGACACAAATAAAACAAAATATAAATTTTACAATCATGTACAGTAAGATATTAAACATCATTATCAATTATATAATATAATTCGTAAACCTCATTCTCAACATTATTATCAGATGTACAGCCCTGGGACAATGCTGTAGAGTTTGAACCTATTCAGAGTAAACCTGAATAATTAGAAAATACTAAGTAACAATTACATTTAATGGTAAATTTGTATAACATATTTTCAATACTTTTTACCTCATTTCATAGCCAATCTCGAGCACACACTAAGGCCTCCACAATTTTTGAATGAAGTCGATTACGATGAGGGCTTACAATTCTTCCAGTAGTGCTAAACGACGACTCTAAAGCAACTGTAGACACATGAATGTCCAAGATATCTCTAGCAATATCATGCAAAGTAAAATATTTGATGTCATTTGTTCTCTACCATGATAATATGTCAAAGGTAAGAGAGACTCTTCCAAATAATGGTTCAGCTATGATTTAACGAGCTCAACATTAGTTGAATTAGAAAGAAAATATTCAAACTTGTGCATATAGTTTCCAACTCCAACTTGATATGCTATCGATGAAGAGGTTGAAATTGAAGATTGACAAAATTCATGAGTAACACTTGGATTAGACTTGGACTGATAATCTTTGACAATATCATAAGACAATTTGCGTATCTTCTCGATTTTCAAGGAAGACTTCTCTTTATATATAGGAGGAAAATAAAACTCAATCAATTTCATCTTAAACCTTGGATCCAAAATAATTGCCAATCCCATCATGTCATGCATTGTATCCCAATATTTTTCAAACTTTGTTACCATTTTTTAGGCCATCAATTTCACTTCATCTTGGTCAGACAAGAGCCAATCATAAATTGCCAACCTAATCTCACAAATGTGTGGAAAATAAAGGTTTGTTGTAGGATACTTGCTCACTAGGAATAATTTTATATAATGACTCACGTTGTCTCAAGCGAGGAAAAATATTTTTGTATGTCATTGCCGTCTTAAGCATCAAATAGGTAGAGTTCCACCTAGTTTTGCAATGTAGCTCTAATTGCTTAGTGCTCTCAATTTTCAATTGACGGGCTACCTCAATAAATTTTTCTGCTCTCTTTGGAGTGGTTGGCCAAAAGGCAACACTAGAACGAATTTTCTCAATGCTACTGTTGATAACATTCAAGCCATCCTTAACAATCAACTTCAATATATGTGCACAATAACGCATGTGAAACAAACTTCCATCCAACAACAGTGAGCCAAATTTTTTTTCTAACAATGTTCCAATCATGGAATCATTAGTTGTGCAATTATGTACAGTCAAAGTGGATAACTTACCAATGTTCCAATCTAGCAAACAATCCATCAAAGCACTAGCAAGAGTCTCAATTGTATGTGGACATGACACATATATAAATCTAGTACAAAAAAAAAAAGACAAATTAAGTACACAAGCTATCATAGGCATTTAAAATGAAACATATGTTAAAAGTTTTATTTCAAAACTAAATAAATTACCTCACAAGTCGACTTTGCAAGTTCCAAGATTCATTAATGAAATGAAATGTGACGGCCATAAACCCTCATTTTTGGTTATTTGAGGTCCACATATCAGTTGTAATTGCAATTTTACTTTGATTTGTCTCCAACAACTTCATTGTTCTTTCTCTCTCATACTCAAATATTTTAAAGATGTCACTCTTAATTGTGTTTCGAGAAACCATCTTAAACAAGGGTTGCAAAGCCATTGAATATCTTCTAAAACCGACATGTTCAATCATGGACATCGAGTACTCATGCAAAATAATCATACAAGCAAGCTCTTTCCTTGCATTTTGTTGATCAAAATTATACGTACCAAGCTTGACACCCCCATCATTTGATTTAGTAGGATGCAACAAAGATTGCTTTTTATCTCTTTGCTTCCTCAAAGGACATATTTAGAAATGATCATACAAATGTGTAGTTCCATTTTTGCTTCAAGCCGATAGCTTTTTCCCACAGTTATTACACACAGATTTCCGCACATCTCCAATCTTTTGTTTTTTAAAATGATTTCAAACAATAGATCTTAACTTTCTCTTATTTTGACTGTTATCATCACACCCACTAGAATCTTGGTTTGGTTCTTCATCAGTTGGTTGTGCAGTGTGTTATTGGTTCTCATCCTCATTCTCAACTCTTATTGAGCATTCAATTAGTGTCTTCACATTTGGAGAATCATGTTGTTGAGTACCACCGTCAAGTCCAAAATGTTCTTATTATCAATGTCCGTATGTTCAAGAAATCTATTAATAGGTAAATATAACGAATAATTGTCTAAGCATAAACTAAGATATAGTATTGGTAATTCTTATTTCAACTAACAAATTTAGTGATTTATTAATATATGTTTTCATCTACAGTGATCATGTTAGATGATATGAAAACTAAAAATAGAACCAAAAAAAATATATATTGTCAATGGTTAAAAGTTGGAATCGAGTACCTAAAATAATGGTGCTTGTAGTATGTTGATAATCTATTCCTTTGACTTTGAAAGAAGGAAGGGTGCAAGTGATCCAAGCTTATATGTGAGAGAGCCCTAGATGTCGGCTATGTAAGATGTATAAACAACTAGGGCAATATTGAAATCTCTGTAATAATATATTTATATATAATAAATATTCCTATTATTATAGAAAGTCATATGTCGGCTGATTTGATATATATGTTCTTAACGGGTCAGGTTCAGGTTGGGGATTAAAATATCATCCCCGCCCCTCCCCGATCACCATACCCGATAATTTCCCCATACCCGTTTTTTGTCGTTCATACCCGACCCATTAGGTCGAAGCCCCGCGAAGACCCTTACCCACGGGGAAAATTGTCATCCCCAGGATTTTTGTCAAATTTGTTTGCATCATTGGTTTGTGTTTCCTGTTATTGTTTTGTTGTAAAATCTGTATAAAATTGATGAATTACCTGCATATTTGCATAATATCCTCTGGTTATCTAATCTTTCTTATCTCTATGTTTACAATTTTAGTAATGCTAAGAACTATGGAAATCAGAGAAGACATTGGTGATCAAAGCAGTGAAGGTGGAAGTGGAGTCAACTTTCACAAGCCCATGTTGCGCCCCTCATCACTTGGAAGTGGAGTTGGAGGTGACCACCTGCCCCACTGATGCAGCGAGTTTAGCAAATACATATATGGACTATTGGGATCATATTCATGCATGAGGAAAGTCTTAATAACCTATATCAAATAAGTGTCTCTTCGTATGTGGGAGTTATCTAGGTTCATTGAATAAAGTGATGGAAAGTCTTTTCATCTTTGTGAGTTATAGGGAGGTTTAGTGTGAAGTTATCGTTAGGAGGGAAATTGGGATAGGAAAGGTTTAGCAAAGTTATGAGGAATTATCTCATCTTGATTAAGAGGCAGCTATAAATAATGCATGAAATTGTAAGAAAGGGAGTTGATGTTTGTTATTGAATAAGATTGAGATTTTTTCTCTCATCTCTTTACTTTTTTCCTGGCTATTCTTATAATTAACATATTAGAGTTTAGTTCCGGGTATTCTTAAAATCAACGGAGTTAAATTTGCTCGAAATTATATCTTTTGTTCCTGTTTCACTGCATCAGTTGGTCTCAGAGCGGGATTTAGTTGCAAAACTGAAATCCTGATGAGGAACTACATGCCAATTGTGTAGTTAGTCAAATCTACATTAGCTGTTGTCAAAAAATGGTTAGTGGTGATCATACATTTGATCATTTAATAGATTTGCATCTCCCTCCAGTATTTGATCGATGTTCAGATGGTTCTTGTGAGATTTGTTGTGATTATTATTTTACAGTTGAGAATGTTTTTGACACGAAATTGAAACAAATGGAATGCATTGAAGAAGTTGTGGAAAATTTTGTCAACTTCATATTGCAATTGTCGATTATTCCAAAACTTTATTCAACTCTGATGATATTTTTGAAGTTGTTGAATATATTGATTTCATGAGGGTTGAAAATTTCAGTCGTCATAGTGCAACCACTTTGGTTGATACCATATTTTAGAATATCTGGTTTAAGAGATTGGCCGTGGAGAGTTTACACAATTGGAGAATATTCAAATATTCAAAATATTTATTTCTTTGGAGTGGGAGATTTCAATTCGAAGACCAACAATCAATGATCATGATTTTAATCCAAGAAGGCATAAATTCGAGGACAAATTTTTGTCAACCCGGGGAGAATGATGCTGATAAGAAGCGTCATTTTATGGAGTTTAATGTTGGAGATTTTGTTTGGGCCATTCTTACCAAGGATTGTTTTCCTGTTGGTGAATATAACAAATTAGCTGCTCGCAAAATTGGACCGGTGGAAACCCTTGAGAAGATTAATCCGAATGCTTACAAATTGAAGCTTCCCAACCATGTTCACATGTTTGGTGTGTTCAATGTGAAATATCTTGTTCCTTTCCATAGCTCCAACTCCGATGATAATCCAAATTTGAGGGCGAATTTTTGTCAACCCAGAGAGGATGATGTAGCGAGTTTAGCAAATACATACATGGACCATTGGGATCACGTTCATGCATGAGGAAAGTCTTAATGACCTATATCAAATAAGTGTCTCTTTGTATGTAGGAGTTATCTAGGTTCATGAATAAAGTTATGGAGAGTGAGTTATAGGAAGGTTTAATGTGAAGTTATCATTAGGAAGGAAGTTAGGATATGAAAGGTTTAGGAAAGTTATGAGGAGATATCTCATCTTGATTGAAAGGCACCTATAAATAATGCATAAAATTGTAAGAAAGGCAGTTGATGTTTGTTATTGAATGAAGATTGAGATTCTTTCTCTCATCTCTTTACTCTTTTCCTGGGTATTCTCAGAATTAACATATTAGAGTTTAGTTCCGGGTATTCTTAGAATCAACGGAGTTAAATTTGCTCGAAATTATATCTTTTGTTCTTGTTCCGCTGTATCACCCACTCACCACCTACCCCTGATCACATACAAACTGCACTTGGGCACTTACAAGCTACACTTAAGCACATACAAGCTGCACATGAGCACATACAAGATGCAGCTCTTCTTCAACAAGATGTAGCACAAAATGCAACTCTTCTTCCACAAGATATTCCGGGGCCTGCACCTCCAACTCGTCTTTAAGTAGTCATTAGGATCGGCATGTGGCCATTGATGCTTGGTATGATTTTTGGTTTATTCAATTGTTTCCCACATAGCTTCACATACAAAAAATAAAGAAAGAAGTTTATCACCATTTGCCCTTTCACTTTCCTTCACGACACAGGTGACGTCAATTGTGGGATACGAGGACATTACACCCAATAGTGTTTGGGGTAAAGTTCTAATGTTATTGTTGAGTTTTTTTCTTAGTGGAGTGTTGGGCTACGTGGGGGATTTATTTTTGACGACTTTATGTGATTGTTTTATCAAATATTTGGAACTTATACTAGTTCATTGGGGCACTAGTGAGCATAGGTTTAACGATTTTGTTGGCTTGTTAGAATTGCTTTGTGCCACTATTTGCACCTGTCTTATGTGTAGTAGTAGGTATGTTGGAGTTTCACAGACTCTCAGAATTTAACTATTTGGATTGTTTGTATCTTTTTGTGGTTATCATAACAACACTTGGGTACGGGGATATTGTCATTATGTCGAAGGATGTGGTAATTTTTGCTAGTTTTTGGATATTGTTGTCGAGCTAAGTGTACATACGACTTAAGTTGTAGACTTGCAAGATGTTTGGGAATAGTTTGAGACTTGAGACCACTCAAGTATATTGGTTTGAAATACCATTCTTTTCTAATTTTGTGTATTAAGTCTTATTTTGAAGTACTTATGATTCCATTTCTCCTACATATTTGCCATTACTAATAATGTTATACTGAAGATTGGAAAAAAATATATATATATATGTTATACTGAAGGATGCTGAAAATTATATTTTATTAAACCTATTTAGGGGCTAGTTACTCGACAACATATACGGATCACTGATTGCTCCTGGTTAAGCTTTGCTTATGAAACATAGAAGAGATGAAAGATTTTCCTTTTTAATTTCAACATAGAAGATATGAAAGATTCTCCATGAAAGATTTTCCTTTTTAATTTGGAAAGTTTTTTACTTTCAACATTGAATTTCATATGTCAAGTGTCTAAGAAATAATCCACTTACCTTTTAATGAAAACAATATGTTTGTTATTTTCCTTTTAAGGATTATATGTGAATTAAGAAATAATCTACTTACCTTTTAATGAAAACAATATGTTTGCTATTTCTTTCTAGTGATATTAATAATCAAATGGAAAAAGCTGTTAAGCGCCTCTTCTCGAAGAAAAGAGAGGAGTTCCTCGAATGTTGTAGACTTCGCAACGTCTAGCCCATCCTTTTAATGGTGCACATGGCTGATCTTGCCTAGCTAGTTGCTCGGTTAGTCGAGGTATCAATAGTAGTCCCCCAAATTTGCGAGTAAGAAGGTACTTCTTGCTTGGGAATTTGTAATTTTAAGTGCACTGGTCGAGCAACACCACAGGTCGTCTTCCAAGCTGTATAGTGCACTACCTATAGTCCCCCAAGTGCTCGGGTAGGAAGGACATTGGAGGGAGGGAACTTGCAACAAAACCCAAGTGGTTTGCAAGTCCCCAGTTTGTTATGCAAGGTTGCTGAATGGCATCATAGTACGTGGAAGGGCGGTGGTGCCAAAGGTACAAGATTTGCATGTCACAAACAAGGTGTTGAAGGGAATGTAGCTGTCAAAGGCATAAGACTTGCATGTCGCAAGACTATGTGCCTACGCATGAGGGATGCCGAAGGCGACACAAACCTTGTATGTTGCAAGGTAATGTGCTTAGGCCCGGGGGTGCCGAAAGCAATAATGGATGCCGAAGGCACAAAGCTTGCATGTCACAGGGAGATGTGCCTATGAACGAGGGTGCCGAAGACGACACAAAGCTTGCATGTTGCAAGGCAATGTGGCTAGGCATGAGGGTGCCGAATACACAAAGCTTGCATGTCGCAGGGTGATGTGCCTATACACGAGGGTGCCGAAGGCAACACAAAACTTGCATATTGCAAGGCAATGTGGTTAGGCACAAAACTTGCATGTCGCAGGGCGATGTGCCTAAGCATGAGGGTGCCGAAAATATAGTCACAAGGGAAAATGTCGAAGGGCACGGGGTGCCGAAGGTGCCAAGCTTGCATGTCGCAAGGCGATGTGCTTAGGCACAGGGGTGCCGAAGGCATTGGCATAAAACTTGCGTGTCACAAGAAAAATTACCGAAGTGTATAAAAATTTGAAAAGATGTCAAAGGGCACGGGGGTTGTCAAAGGCATAAATGTGCTGAAAGGAAGAAATGAAAATGTGCATTTTTTTTAAATTATTATTTAGGAAATAATAATAATAATATCTTTTTTTTTCTTTTTCGTTTTTTTGTGAGAGAAAGATTGTGAGAGACTGGGCCTCTTGGGCTTTCGGCAGACCCTGGGTGAGTTTTAGGCTTTCAGCAAGGGCTCACTTTGTCTAGAGTTGTGCTAAATAAAATAAAAAGGAAAAAGAGGGGTTTTGAAAGGTGATGTTCGGCAAGGTATATGAAGGAGAAAGGTTTCGAGGTCCTCCCCTTATTCAGCATAGTTGCCAATCGGCATGTTTCAAAAATTACCTCTGTGAGTCCTCGTATCTGCAAGGCTGAATGTCGACAAGGTTTTTGTTGGGTGTCGGCAAGGCTGGGTACGAAAAAGTGATTCAGTGTGGGCTTGCTTCGGTAAGGTTGAAGAGTTTTGGGAGCTATCTTTTCCTGCTGCGCAGCCCTTGCCATTCGGCAAGGGTGATTGAAAAAGTTCTTGGCAAGGGTCTTCTTCGGTTTAGCAAAGGTGTCTTCTCCAGTTGTATAGCCCTTGCCGTTCGGCAAGGGTGCTAAAAATTCGGAAAGGGCTGGCATAAGCCTGTTGTTCGACAGAGGCAACTTGGAGGAAAATTTTGTGCTCTCCCTTCCTTCTGCACAACCCTTGTCGTTCGGCAATGGTGTTGGTGAAAAATTGTGATGATTCTTGTGTCTTCGGCAAGGCAATGGCTGCGCTCAGCAAGGTGAGCTGGTTTCGTGCTTGTCACAGCTTTAGAATGAGGGTGCTAGTTTTTTTTTTTTTTTTTCGGTGTTGGGTCATTTCAA